GTTGCTAGATTCATAAAATAAGTTTCATCCCCTTGATTCAATTCTTTAAATTTCTCAATCTATTTCCTAGGCATACGATTTTTTTCACAGTTTCGTAAAGTCCCTTTTCAGCAGACAGCACAAAGTTTTAATCTGATCCCAAATGTCGGAGCTATATGTTTTATTAGTGTGATTTCATCGAAAGCTCCCGCGCGTGACACCAACCCGTTCGATAGGCAAGGCTTTGATTAGCGGGAAGATTCGAATGGGTCCACGCCGATTGACATTTGAATGACTCTTAATGTCGATTGCGGCTATCATTGTGACAATAGGATCGGTCAGGCTGTTTACTATGAGGTGTTGATTACGTGATCGGCAGAAAACAGGAATGAGATTCTTTTTGAGGGCCGAGAATAGCATGGGAACGAGTGGATATCGCGTTTCGTAATCGCAACCGCGGTGACGACGGCGGAGGGTAAGTTTCGGGACGATAGCCAAAATCCCCAAGCAATTATAGAATTGGATTGGATCGGGGAGTTCGGGAAGGTGGTCGGCATCGTCGCCGAAATCGGTTTCGTTTTATTTTAGCTTAGCTGTCGAAGGCATCCGGTTGTGCATTCTCCCCGCGGATCATCGTCACGATCACAGTAAGTGTCCTCTTTAATAGGAATTCCTCTGCTCATCCAGTATCACCGCGTGAAATTTATATTAAACGGGAGATGATTAATAGAGTATATGTAAATACATTGAGCGTTGAATGACGGGGTGAAATCTCACGGCGAGTAACATCGAAGTTCTTGTGATTGTACCACTCTTGTCGTCCTTCTTTTAATCACTATATTTAAGGTACAGATTTTGCTCACTGCGAATAATTAAGATATTTGTTTAGAATCAATTAAAACATTCATATTTTAATTATATAGAAAGAACGGTAGCTGAAGTAGCTAAAAATTTATAAATTTTTGACAAATTTGAAAATAATTTTGTTGAACTATCAAAGTAATCATATAAGATTAGTTGCTAGATTGTCAAAACTTGTTGCAGCATTGTTCCTGCTTGAATTTCCTCCATAATTTTATTTGGATGGCCCAACAAAATTTTCAGATCTGTATATGTACTTAAATTTTTAAATACTTCGACAAAATCGTTCTTTTTATGTAAGTGCGCAATTTATGAATTTTATCTGCTTTGCTCGCGCATTTGTTAGCGTAATTTTCATCTTTCATATTCATCATCTAAAATTGCACTTTAGCTTTACGAGATAAATGTGATATCCAGAATAACTGATAAGGAGAAAGCCCAAAATCGCGCATTACGATGGAGGCAATCAAGAAGAAAATTGCGGCGCTGAAGCTTGAGATGGATGCCGCAAATGAAAAGGTCGAAGTCAATGAGACGAAAGCGAAACAGGAGAATATAAGAGCAGACAGGCTGAACGATGACCTCGGCGATCTACAAAAGCGATTGTCGCAATTGGAACGAGATTATACTGTCACTAAAGCTAACTTAGAGCAATCTACTGCCGATCTAGAACAGTGCGAGAAATCTTGGTCTAAAGTATGTAATGATTAATATGAATAGATTTTCTAAGATCTTCCATAAAGCGAATTTCTTTTTTATAAACTTGTGAATTTTTACAATTTTCTAAGATAATACGTCCTATTGAATCTCAACTAATGAAGCTATTATAAGAAGCTTTCAAAGAAGCTGTAATCAGTATTTTAAATTCCAATACACACGTATTTAAAGAATCTTTTATCACATATCAATTAATCGTATTGTACAGGCTGAACAAGATCGTACCGTTTTAACGAAGAAAGTGCAAGAGATCGAAGCGAGTTTGACTAAAAAGGAGGAACTACGTCTTTCTGCTACGTTAAAACTGGCACGTGCGACCGAACTTGCAGACGACGCACAGAGGTTTATAAATTCATTGTCATCAGATTTTCATGTTTTATTCAGCCAAAACTGGTCGAATGACATTGATTGATTATATAGTGCTATGGAAGTTAATTGAAGTCGATTTGACTAATTTCTTAATTATTTCTACGGGGTATAAATGTTATGCATATACATAAAATAAATAGATAAATTATATAAAACAGAATTCGACAAAGCAATAATACTGTATCTTTTTTTATATACAGAATGTGTAACGTTTTGGCAGACAGGAGTCGTTTGGACGAGGAACGTATGGAGAAGTTAATGTCGGAATTAAAGGATGCTAGATTAATCGCCGAAGACGCTGATGCGAAATCTGATGAAATAGCCAAGAAATTGCAATTTGTGGAGGAAGAATTAGAAGCTGCTGAAGAAAGAGTGAAGACTAGTGAGGCGTATGTATAATAATTGTATAATATACACATATATATATATATATATAAAACATAGAT